TTGGTAAAAAAAAGTCAAGATGCAGCTGTAACTGCATGGTTGGAACCCTGTCCTTTTGATCATGCAGCTGCTACCTTGACTTTTTTTTAACCCTCCCTTGCAGATACCCCTATTAGACATTCATATCTTTAATTCATGACACTGCTGTTAATAACATCAAGTAATTCAACAACACTCATTTCCTGTACTAGCTGATCCTACCAAGTCTAAATCACCGGCGGTTCTCTTGTTCCAAGACACATAAACTCATCTAAGAGTCATATTTTGTTCCGCTATCAATTTACATTTATCTGCCTGATTTGAGGATAGCTAGAATTCACTTGTTACCGCACCTCAAATACCACCCTAATTTTCTTCATCTCGAAAATCATATTTTTAAATTAAGAAAGGAATAAAGCAAGCAAGCAAGTTCAAACAGGGTGCTTGGTAATTTGTTCCATACTGATCTATATGCAGTCCATATATCCAACTATTCTATCTTTGTATTCCTTCTGCCATGGCTTGCCTGTTTACCCCTTACATGGCAATTGATTCTGTGCTGTCTGTGACATTTTAATGTTTATTATGGCTGAGTTTCACTCTTGTTGCTACCAATCCATTTCTCCAGTGCATGGGGATTATTTGCATTATTTTTTGACTACCTTTCCCTATTCAGTTTGACATGCATGATTTAGCATCACACAGAACCTCTCATGTGGAAGGATGGGAAGCGAATGGTGAGAAACACAGTGCAGTTAGCCTGCTATTATTATTAATATTAAATTATTTCTTTCTGTTTAAACGATCAGCGTTATCCATTTTACTGTTTTTATTGTTTTAGTCAACAGGGAGATGTATTTATTTCAATTTATATATTGATATGTTTATTGAATATATGATAACTACCTTAAACCACTTTAATATTGTTTAAATGCAATGCAACATAAATTTAGGTAATAAAGTGCATCAAATTTTCTCAAAGTTTTTTTTTTATCATAACCTTACTGCAGGTCTAACAATCCTTTCAACCATTTTCTCTACCCTTTGAAAATATATTGATCCAAAAGCTGTTCAAAGTATTAAACTATTTTATTTGCACTATACAAAAAAATGAAACTGCATTTGTACTGAAGGCAACAGCCAAAGACAATTACGATGAAATGCTTTACCTTATTTTTTATGTTTAAAAAACTGCTATCCAAACAAGTCAAATCCAGCAAATGTGAAGACCATTGTATACCATGCTTTTAATTATGCTTTTGACAATTATTTAAATGTTTTAAAAGCTCACAAATGGGAATTTAAAATCCTACTGCCAGATTTTCTTCTTTATTATTTTTTCTTAGCAAAAACTTCTGTATCCTGAATGTTTGGACTTAATTTGGAGCAAGGCGGGTGGTGATGGGGAGGAACAGGGGGCAGCCTGACGTTCTCAGAATTCCAGTCAAGCCACTGGAGTCCATCTTAGATGTCAGGGTCCACATGGCAAAATGGACAGCTTTGTAGATTTTCAGGACCCTGTTGGTTAATAACAACTTCTCTTCCCTCTCATCCTAGTCAAATGCATTACTATAGCTATGTTATTACAAGGTATGTCATAATAGTAGGCAATCAGGTGCCATCCAGATGTTTTAGGTGTTAATTCCCACAGTTCCCTACTAGCTGGGGTTGAGGACAGTTAAAGTCCCATACCAGATGACCTATTCTTGTGCTATAATTCCAGATGAAACTGCAAATATATTCTAAACTCATTATGATTTCATAACTTCCCATATCACTTTTTTTTCCTCAACTACATAAGAAACATGCTTCTTAAAAAAAAAGGAGCATAAACCAGCAAAATATTGTTCCTTACACAAAAGGATACATATGTGAATATATACTCACATATACAGGATCCTAACAAAGTCTTGTTTTTTAAAACAATGTGAATGATTTCATCTTTAGTGTTATTAAAAATGGCAGCCATCCTACAGGATGGAACAATTACTGGACAACTACAAAACACCTTGTTGCAGCAGTAAGAAAAAATGTCTGCTTACTTCTTAAAAATACATTGTTGAAAAGAAAATGTGAGTAGTCGCATGCTAAAATGGGGTAAGCTCCTATTTGCATCAAGTTCATATATACGAATATTAAATCTGCAAGTTGCTTAGAGAATTGTTGTTTGAGTAATAATTTGTGCCCAAATGATGAACTCACATTTTATCAAACTCCTGGTCTGGAGGAGCAGGAGGTGGGGGCAAAAGGACCTCAGGACTGTACCACTGGCATGGCCTTAGTTGTACCCCCCAATTACTGCAACACTTTGCATGTAGGACTTTTCTCAAAATTGGTTTAGAACCAACATCTGGTGCAAAGTGCAATAGCTCAGAATCATTGAGAATCAGGCAGCATACAACTTTAATAAATTAAAATAAATTAGTCAGAATATTTGTGTATCTACTTTTCAGATCATACTAGACCGATCCCATTTCATCTGCATCCATATTCGTTTCTCGGTACTATGCAAATAAAAGTTATCAACACCAATCCATTATGGCAAGAGGTGGGAAATCTGCCAAGTTCCATAACTGTTAGCTTTCAACTTCTATCATCTCCATTACTATGTGGATAGAAATTGGAATCTTATGCCTGGAGGACCTCAATTTCTTCCACCATGGATTACAATAATCAGGGATACTGCTATTTCATTGTAAGGCAAGTGAAGCTGGCCATCACATAATATAGGGTACCACAGATGGGAAACTACTTCCTATCAGAAATGTGGCTGGTTTCTTTGCTGTTGGTTTCAAGTAGGGTTGCCAGATGTCCAGCAAAAGGAGGACATATCTACTGTCTCACAGGCATAGCATTAAAATCAAATATTGTCCGGCTTCTTGAGTGTCTTGGGGCTTTTTTTGAGGGGAGTGCTAATTCCACAGCAGTAGTCATTCAAACTTTCATGTACAGTGACCTTGTAAATTGTCTGTTTCTTTCTTTCCCTTGTCCATCGACAGATTTGACAGCCTAGATTTACATTACTTATTTCCTGATTCCAGCAATTGGCTTCAATCCAGCCCTTCAAATCTATGATCACCATAGTCTGTAGATCACATGACTTGTCATATGTTTCTATGGTGAATTTTGAAAAGCATGTTGTTGTCAATTCTATATTAATACAGAATCAATAATATAGAATGTTCTTGAAAATAAAGATTTGCTGAAAAATATTGCGATTGAAAAACTGGTATTTCTGATGCTGAAAAAAGTAATTTCATATACATGTAGGCCTAAGTACATTTTTTTTGCAGTTTTTTGCAGTAATTTTTGTTGCGAATGCCAAGAAAAAGAGTGAGTGTCTCCTCTTCTCCCCCTCCCACTTTGCCCTCCTTTCCAATTGTCCGTATCTTCCTTTGCCCATTCGGATATCTGGTAACCCTAGTTTCAAGGCGTAATATCACTGTTATTTTATGAAGCATTTTCTGAATTTTATTACATTGAAACTGTTGGCTGCTACATTTCCTGTGTTTGCTTCTAAAGTCCTTTTATGTATTAGGGTTCTGTCTAATTGCTGGGAATTGCATTGTAGGTCCTTAATAGGACCGCAGAAGAGGACATCAATACATGCATTCTTCTGTTAAAAAAAAAAAGTCTCTTCTCATATTGGTGAGTTTACAATCCAATAGGTGCCCGTATGCGGCATCAGACAGGATACCCAAAGGGATATTTTCAAAATTGGCACATTCTTAAATTTACACTAAACAAAAGCACAATATGAATAGAGTGTATATTGTGCCCAAGCAGAACAGGACTGTACTTTTGTAGTTTTCAAATTTGTCATCCGTTAAAAGCAAAGAATTTCATTGCAGTTCAAACACTGATTTTTATCTTTCCCACCACTTACAATCTGAGTCCCCAAATAAACAAAAACACTTTTCCCCTACAGTATTCTTTTCAATCTGTTTTCCCGATATCAGGAAACTATCATTACTACCCTTACAATGGCTTTCCAGATCTAAAACCCACAAAAGTCTCACATCTGCTGCCCGTCACGTGTGTCAGAGAGGAGAACAGTCACAACTGCCTTCCTCTTTTGCTATTTGACAAGGCCCTTCTCTGCCCTTCAGGAATCAGCAGAGCCACTGGGGGAAGAAGCCAGCGCAGGGTCTGTACAAGGTCCTAACAGATCTGGAGATGGAATATTCATGGAGCTCTGTCCCCTTTCTTCTAATCATATCGAATAATCTTGTAATATTTTTTTCCTCCATATTTTTTCTCCATTGAAATCAATGACCCAATAAGCTGTAAGTATGGGGAATTCCAATGTGCAGAAATAATTATTGGGGTTTACATTTCAACTGATTCATTTTCCTGCCTTGAATGAAAAGTCCTGGTCTCTGATCTCACCCCTGATCTACCTGATTATTCCAAATACTGAACCATATTTAGGATGGAGTTCCCTATAAGCATATGGTCCAGGGCAATTCTACTTTCCCTCAAAGACTTCTGAGCCAATGAAGTAAACAGCCATCATTGCCTTCTCCTAGGGATGTGCAAAATACAGGGATCCAGGAACGAAAACTCCCGAAAACTCCCCAATGTTCTATTTCTCCTCTCCAGATCCCCTGCATCACTAAGCAGGCTTGTTTTCTTGAAGGCAATAACTACCAACTGTCCAATGAGCAAGACAGGAAGGAGATTCAAATATCTTTGTCACTGTTTTGATGTACATTCTAATGGCACATTGTTATTATACAGAATTTTCTAATTCTAAAGCCACTCTAGGAGCTTTGTCTGGTAAAAATCAGGATAAAGATATTTCAAATTAATAACTGAATTAATCACTTAATTCAAACACCAAATGTATACTTTGCCAAAGTTACAGAACTTCAGAGACCCTCCCCTGATACTGTACATTCAGCCAACCCATCTGATGCCAGTCTTTCCAACCAGCAAAGGTTTTGAGATCCCTACCACTCAATTCTCCCAAAACAGCCCTGTAGCCTTCCAGCTCTTATTCTCACTTCCCCATTCCTGACCTGTGGGAGGGCAATGTTGAGCTGGCGCTGGAGTGATTCCTTCTCATGACCCAATTCATGCAGGCGAAGTTGGGAGGTAGCCAAACTTTCCTGGGTGTCACGCAATGTCTCCAGCAGCCGCTCTCGCTCATTCAACATGTTGACCATAAGTTGCTCAAAATTGGCATCATCAGCCCCATAGGCTGAACCACGGCGGTTGTCCTCATTGATGGTGGGCATCACTTCGCACATCATCATGCCAAGCAGAGTGGGGAGGGATGCCCTGGGGGCTCCTCTGGAAGGAACAAAAGAGTAGCTCTAGATTCTGCAAAAAAAGAATAAGAAACTTTCAAACATCACAGACATGGGAAAATGAGAATCTGTAGAAAAGGATCAACCAGAATGTTGATTTCAGATAGCCACTGGTGAGATAATAGCTTAAGAAAAGAACATTTACTTTGCATGATGAGAATCTCAAGTTCAGTTTCAGGCAACTTGATTAAAATGACTGAACAGAAGAAGGCATTGCTTAAGACCATGGGTTGTTACTGCCATTCAGAACAACCATATTGACCTAGTTCAACTATAAGGAACAGTGGACTTCTCCAAATGGTATAAGCTACAATTTCCAGCAGTCCTTACTATTGGCCAAGCTTATGACAACTGCTGGAAGTTGAAGCTGAGCAACATCAAGAAGGCCATAAGATTCATACCCTGGTCTACACTGAGAAGTTCTCAGTACATCTTGAAAGGAAGACTCAATGTTTTTTTCCAACCAATTCACTTTTAACATGAGAGAATTGTCTTGGATTTGTCTTCTCTGTCTAATCTTTATTTAGGGGGATTGCCTTAAATTCAGACCGTCTTTCGTGGTGGTAGTAGGATAGTCTGAGCTGATGCAGGAAGCAGAGTCCCAGAGTGGTAAACAGACATGCAGAGGGGGTTTTGGGGGGGAGTAAGGAAAAAGGCTAAGGACCCTAAAAAGGAAGGCTGAAGCCTGTGTGCCAAAACCCACCACAGCTTCAAGCATTTGACGTGGCAAGATAAATTGAACTCAGACAGCTACAAACTCTAGTCTAGGAGTACAGCTCTTGGGGGGAGGAAAACGGAAAAAAAGCTTACAGCCACAAGGACCAGAATCAGCTAACAAGACGACACACATATTTCTACTAATTTATTACAAATGGGACTAATGGGACCAGGGATGTTACCACAGTCAGTATTACACTTTTGTCACTGCCTCCCAAGCCAAAATATTGGTTCCTCTTCAGCATTGGGCTGCTAATGGAGAAGAAGAATTGAAGAATAAGAGAGCTTGAAATAATTAATTTTGTGGGCAGATGGGGAGAGGAGCAGAATCATCGGGCAGGCATGAAGTTCAGCCGGTTGGGGAACTAGAGATGCCAGAAACCAACCCAGCCTCACCCTATCCTTGGTTTCCAGCCCCATCTCAGGGCAAGTCACCCTCTAGACCTGTCTTTCCCAACCAGACCTGTGCAGATGCTTTCAACAACAACTGTTATCGCTACTGACCGTTGGCTGTACTGCCTAGGAGAAGGTGGGAGGCAATCACCTGGGGAAGTGTCCTAGAGCCACTTCAGTCTCAGTTCTTTGTGCCACAAATTAGCTAATCTCCAGGAGTTATACTGCCCCTGTTTCATTTCCAGAAGTATAGCCCAATAGCCTTAGATCTCTAAAGGCCCGATTCACATCTTAGTTCAGCAAAGTAAGCTTAAAACAAACAACAAACCAAACCACTCTTCCCCTGTCTGTTAAAACTGGTGGACCGCCTAGCATTCATGTAGCCCTTTTTAATATTCAAAACATGGTACATATTTTATAATAGTAACAACTGTGCCTTTCCATAGGATAAAAGTTTAGAAAGGCAAATAAGATGTGTAAAGATCTCCAGTTTTTGTTTGTTCAGCATACTACGGAGTTGTAAATTTTGCACTGAGTTATGAATATTATGCAAGACGCTTACTCGCTATCCGGCAAACCGGTTTCATTCTGTACTTGACTTAGCCTTAAATCTATTCTAATGAACTGGGTGCTGCACAAAACATTGCAATAAAGCAGTTTGGAGGACTGATACATTTCAGATAGTAAGGGAAGGAACCAGAACTATGTCTTCTATTAGCAGAGAAACACTTTTTTAGTTCAGCCTGGTGTTTAAGAGGATTTGCTATCTATTATTTGTTGATGTACGTGCTACATCATTTAATCTCATTTTAACCTTTCTTTTTCTATTGGGTTTTTACATTTTACATGTTGCTATTTATTTCTTTAAAATATGTATTTCCTCCCCATCAAACGATAGATTTCTAGGCTTTGTATATTTAAAATAAAATAGATATTTAAATACAACATACAATAATAGAACAAGTAAAATAACAGCCACCAAAAATAATTTAATTTCGCCATCATAAGCCCTCAAATGCTAAGGTGAACAAAAATGTCAGCATGAGCCTGAAATTGTAGAAAAGTATCAGCCATCATAGAAAGGTAAGGTACAGATTAAAAAAGTAAATGGCTGTGTTCACACAATGCATGGAGCCATAAACTCACTGACCATATTTTAGCCAATCATGTGGAGCAAATTCAGCCCATCTACAGTAGTTAGTTTATGACTCTATGTGCCATGCAAGCTCAGAAAATTTGATAAATCATGGTCAGGTTAATTATGGGTAGTGTCTATTGTGTGAACACACCCTATAAGTAAGTAGTAGATAAAGGGATGTGGGAAAAGGCATGGCTGAAAATGACAAGGGTCTCCACGTGGTCTCTGGTGCAATATTCCCACTACAGACAGAACTGGTTCCTATGAGGATATAGGGAAGTTGCCAGGAACGGTGTAGCTTACTGAATTGTTGATCCAGAGATCTGTACAGTTTATTCCTGTGTCAATTGTTTGGGTAGAGAGCTGTCATTCCTGTTCTATGTGCAAGTACCATGCACATAGATCAAAGATCCACAGAAGGTAGAACAGGATTTACTGGTAGGTCTCTGGATGATATGCAGTAGATCAGCAAGGTTTTCAACTTAGCAGTGACCTTAGTAGTTTCAACTAACAAAAGCAAGTGAAATGGAAAATTAAAGACATACACTAAAATCTGCAGTCTAGCTTTATGCTAATCTCTTATCATTTACTCTCAGGATATTCTAAAACATGGGTACTATTTAGTTGCTTTTGGAACTCTGCTAGAGACTTGAGGAGTTCTGTGTTCAAATTCCCCAATGTGTATAATTCAGATGCAGGTTTCTATTCGCACACAAAAGTAGAAAAATAGAATAGACTCCACTTTGCCTCCCATTCTCTTCCTCCAATCTAATTTTAATCAGGCTTTGATCAGTGGATTTTAGGAGACTAGTAAAATGTACAAACCAAAAGGAAGTTCTTGAAGCATAAAATATATCTACTTCTGATCATAATGGAATTATACAAACAAACAATTCAGTGCAATTTTCCCCAACCTGATGCCCTCCAAAGGGTGACGGCCATTATGGGGATTGATATCCAACTCCTCTGGAGGAGAGTAGGTTGGAGAAGAGTGTTAGTGCAATTGTCCTATCCACCATAAGCTTTAATATTCTTACCTTCCCTTACCCCACTCCCTACAGTATAGGAAGTGGGTTCACAATGAGTTTGCACAACACAGTAAACCATAGAAACTTCCATTATTGGGCAGATCAGAAATTATTAAAAAGTTATAGTAATAGCTATGTTTTCCAAACCCAATGCCTGCATTCACACAAGATGCTTAGTACCGTATTTGAACTCAATTGGGATGAGGGGAGGAAGGAAAGGAATAGCTCTCATCAGCCACATCTCCCTAAATCTTTTCTTCTGCCCCACAATGCATGATTCCTTCATTCCTGCCCTTTACCTTCTCTTCAAGTAGAGTGATGCTTATATCCTGCAAAAGGAAGGAGACACATCGCCCTAAAATAGAACAAAACAGATCTGCACAAATTGTGCGCATACTAACATCTTCTAAAGGCAATCTAAAAATAATTGGTATAATTTAAATAAACATACAAGGCATCTTACCACGGTGGGGAAGAGTAGGTCAGTTGAGGACCCTGTCCAAGGGCTATTAACGGTAGCTTCAAGACTTAACTTCTTACAAATATTTCTATGTGAAACCAGATTGGGACCCACAATCCTCGAAAGAGATGACTGTTCTGTTAATTAAGACACATGTCCCTCTTGTTATCAGTATCCTCCTTACCCTTTTATTTCTGTGGTTATTGGCACTCTGGATAGAGAATCTAATTCTTTGTAAGCAATGACACTTCTAAAAAAAAAAAAAAAATAGCTATCTCTGTGCATGCCGAACTGAGTCTTTGTCCTAAAATGCCCCCCGTTTTGTCAGTTCACACATTTTCTCCAGCACCATCGCTACGACATTCCTGCCTCTTCACCTTCTGCCAAGCTAAGCCCTAGGTCTAGAACAACCTCCATATTCAGGCCCTTCTCAGAACCCTGTCTCTTCCACAAAACATACCTGAGCTACGCCATCTTCATCATATCTTTTTCTTTCGTTTTCTGCATGGAAAGCTTTTGGTTCAAATGGACTAGCTAGGTAATTTCAGGCTAAGCCTCATAGCCCTAGTTAGACAGAGAGACATGAGTGCGCTGTACAGGAGGGTATATTATTGTGATATTTTTTGCAAGCACATGAGTACGTATGCACATAGATGCTGACCCCGAGCAGAATATTTTGCTAGTGTGATAGAGACAAAAAAATTAAGCAGCTGTTTCCAGAGGGAATAAAGTAGATCTTGGCTGGATTCACCAAACATGCTAAACCTTTATCATGGTAGGGAGGACACAATAAAGCAGTATGGGGAGTCAGACAGCTAATGGGGACAGGGGCTCTGGGAAATAAGAGAAGGACACAGCTGTAAATATAAAGCTTGATATCCACAGAGCTGTAGATATAAGCTATGGCGCAATAAACAGAGCAGAGATGACTCTGAGGAATAGCAGGTTCATTTATTCCTTCAGCCTTCAGTCACAGAATGGATGGGGTCACACAGCACACTAAACCCAGGTGAACAAAACACAACTGGTACATGTTTTATAACCCCTCAGCCTCCAAATACTATGGAGGAATGGATGGCCTGGTTCCCAGAGCATCCTGAATCATAAACTATGCTACTCAATGTTGGCTTAGCACAGTGTATTGTGCAAACCCAGCTCTAGGCTTTTAACTGGATCAAAAGCATGCTCCATATAAATTTAATAAATAAAATAAAATATTATGGAGCCTAGCAGATCTGCTGCCCCTCCATCGGCCTCTTCATTCATTTATTTTCAACACATCTTTCTTTAACGCACAATAACTTAAATTGAACATGCACACACACCACATATTGCAAGCAAGGTATTCAGCAATCAACCCTGCCTCAAAGCCATATTCATTGATCTAAAGAGCCTTTCTATAAATCCTAGGTGCTCAGAAGTCAGTTTGAGGTGAGAGAAGGATGCTCTGTGCCTCTCCATCTCTTCCCCTTTCCATATCTTCTCCTCCAGCCAGCCTAAAGAGTACAGTGTAAGATTTTAGCTCCGGATATTCTACCTGGCCAATCAAGCAAATGTCAGCACTATTACTTAGAAATCCCACACTTGGAAAAACCTTCTTTTGGTCTGATGCATGTTGCAAGAGCTGGAGATATTAGGTTTCCCTGAAATAACAAGATTCTATTTTATTATCTTCCAGAGCTGCCTAGAAAAGATACAGGCAGGACTTAGGAGAAGGGAATGCATTTACCTCAGTCAAAGAGATCTATTTCAAGGATCTATTCAAGGGCCAGTCCCTACTACAAATCACAACTCCTGAAGCTGAGCCCTGAGGAAACCTGGAACAAACCTTGCCAACAGAGAAACAGAAAGCAGTACAGATCAGAAGTGAGCCTCCATGCCTGTCCCTCACCTCAAGCCAACAAAAGAGCTCACCAAAGAAAACTGGGGAGTGCTGAGGCCTTACCATATCTTGCTGCATATTTAGGCTCACCGCATACAGCCCCCTTCTTTTTCTCCAAGACTAAGAGCCCATGGAGCAGCTGTAGAAATCTACAGGTAAGACAGAGCAGTGGCCTACCCAAAATGATCGGGCAGGTGAAACTACAGAGCCCAGGATGACATTTTTGTTGAGTGCATTCCACAGTTCAGCAGATAACTCTGACATGGACTTCGACATTTATTTGGCACACAAGAACCAAGTACTGTACTAGGAACTTGCAAAAGAAGAAAATATATGTAGCTCAGGGTTGAACTGTGGAGTCCTTGGTGCTCTCTGAGCTTGGTTGGCAAGCTCAGAGGGCACTAAGGACTCCCCAATATGAACTTACACACAACTATGGCAATTGCAGCTCATGGGGAAGTCTATGGCAAGATGATTCATACAGCCTCTCTTCTTCAGACTTGCAGACAGGAATAAGCAAAAGTGGATTAGAAAGGCCCTAAAAGCAAAATCATATCATCAATACTAAATGTTTATGTATGCTAGTATGTCGACACATTGAAAAACATAGAATTACACTTGAAACATGAAAGGAGACATTCACATAATCTCTCACTCTTTTTTATTCTAAAGCCAACAAGCTTTTAATCCTCATGACTATAGAGCATAGAGAAGATTCAAGAAATACAGAGGACAATTCTATCTGGTAGAATTACTCTTGCACAGTGTTCATTCACTCAGTAACTGCATCTTCCTGTTTGTCAACCCACCCCAGCAGGCAAACAATCTAGAGACTTTTTCCTATAGAATTATGAGGGGGAAAAACCAGCAAAACCAACCCAAATTATGCTAACCTAACTTAAAAGCAGTATAACATGAATTTATTGTGAGTGAGAAAATTGAATATATTTGGAACTTAATATAGAATTTCATCATATTCACACTTAGCCTATAAATGCCTTCACACACTGCTAGGATTGGGGCAGGGGCGGAGGTGCTCAAATTATGCTTGTGCAATAGTGCCAACTTCCATTTGCCTCTACCAGAACATCTTTGCCTGCCACAGCTTAGGGTGGATTCACACATAGCCATATGGCAGAACAAAGATAGCACCTGTCAAACCCAGGAGCAGTCTTCCTATTTATTTGTGAGTTTACAACTGGGAAGTGTATCTTGGAACATGTCAACAAAATCAGGGTCACTGCAGAGGTATAAAAACAGAAGAGCCCAGGTGGATCCGGCCAAGAGCTCATCTTAGTTCAATATTCTGTACCACACAAGGGCCAGGCAAGTGCATTTGAGAAGCTCAAAAGTAGGATCGAAGGGCAATCTTCTTCTTCCATTGTTGCTCTCCAACAGCTAGTCTTTAAGGCACTGT